GCATTATGAAACACAATAGCAAGTTGGGATTTGGATTTCTGTCAACACGCTCGCTGGCTGATCAAATTAACTAGCTGATTAAGTGGCACAATGTTTTTTTTTTTTTTAATTGTGTAACTGACGCGCGTGTGTTAAACAGACTGTCTTTTAGTGTTTCTGTTTTCTGTCTCAGAGTCTTTAAAATTCTTGCTCAGTTCTTCACTGCTTCTGCCTGAAGGCTAAATCTGTTTCATGCTGATCTCCCACTTCTATCTGTTGTTCTGTCTATCTATCTGACTCTCTGTCTGTCTATCTATCTATCTATCTATCTATCTATCTATCTATCTATCTATCTATCTATCTATCTATCTATCTATCTATCTATCTATCTATCTATCTATCTATCTATCCATCCATCCATCCATCCATCCATCCATCCATCCATCCATCCATCCAACAAATGGTTCCTGTGGGTCATTGAATTTCTGTAATAGAAACTGAAAGTCAGGGAATTTTGTATGTTTATATATCATGTTTATATATTATATATTTTTTTGTCATTACAGTTTTTCTCAGTGGCTTTGGTGCATTTTTCACAACACTATTTACATTACAAAATGCATTTCTCAAAACAATTAGTACAAACTGCAAAACCTAGTTGATAACCTGCAAAAGTGCGTCACCTGCTTAAAATGGATAGTTCATTCCTCAAAAGCAAGTATTTATGTCAATGAAAGTGTCATTGTCATCCGGATGAAAAGTCCTGACACCATTGTTTATGAACAAGATAGTCAAACGGCTTTGTCATGTTTTTATTTTTACAGTTTACCTTGTTAGTTTTTTCCAATGCAAAAAAGTCAGATTTTGGTGACACCTGCTGAAAATGTTTGCACAGTCATTTAAGAAATACAGTAAAGTTAGACATCACTGCATTTAGTGAAGTATCTGAGTACAAGACACTGAATATGTATGTTTCACATTTTTACTGTATATGGTCGTTGCAATTCTAATGTATTCACAGCATTGTGCAAAAGAATAAATACACCCTTATTTACAACAAACATAAACGTCCTTTGTAAACAATATTGCATTACATATTGGAACTGAATCTACAACATGCACAGGTCTGTAAATCATTCATGAAAATGTTCATTTTAGGTAACATTTTCAGGGGGGAAAAAAAAGATTAAATTTTTTTAAATAAAATTTGCTTGATAGATTTTGACAACTAGCTCAACATTTTTGGATGTAATGACTTAAGTAATGAAATGAGGACTAATAGTTTATATGGAATGACTTTTCAGCATTTACAAGTTTAGTTCATTTTGACTGACACGACATGAGAAAATAATAATGTTATAAAGCAGCAGAGTTGTATGAAAGCAATTGATGCATGTCCAAAAGCATCGGCAATGTGTTGGAAGGAATTAGAAACTGCTACTATGTGCACAAATGACTAATTAATTTGAGAAGTGCATTAACTGTTGTGCAAATGTAAATAGTGTTGTGAGAAATGCACTAAAGCGACAAAACCGTAAATTTTAGTTTGAGTTTATGAAAATGTTAATATTGTTTGTTTTCAAAATCTGAGGTAAATTATTCATTTTTGTTGACATGGTGGGTGTTAAAGTTCTGAAAAATGCTAGCTAAAATCTTTTTTTATGGGTTATTATTTTAACAAATTTTTCAAATATCATATTGTATAAAACACAACAGTGGCCAATTTTTAATTCAATTCATGAATTTAGCATGAATTTAGAAAAAAAAAAATAAGCGTCCACTTCAAAGTTATTGTCACGATCATCAGCGATCCAGCCTTTGCAGATCGCTGATAAAAATGTAGATCACTATGAGGACTACAAATCCACCGGTATATGGACTACAAGATCCAGTCATGCACCACTCACACACCTGGCCTAGATCCCTATGATTGCAGACACAGCTGAAGCTACTCATCAACTGATTACTAAGACTATTTATAGAGGACATACGCACACTTCAGTGCTGAGTCTTGTTATACTGAACTGTGAACATTACAACGTGTTTTCCTTGCCTTCCATGTTTGAACCTTGCTTTGCTTTGTTTGTTCCACGTTGTCTGCTGCCTGCCTTTTGACCATCTGCCTGTTTATTGACCACGACTCTGGATTGCCCGTATATCTGTTTGCTCCTGTGTTGACTGTTGGTTGCCTGACCATTCTCTTTTCAATAAACCTGCATTTGGATCCACACTCCTTTTGTCCAGCCTCCACTTCACATTACAGGTATGATGATCATATTTCTAAAATTTGTTATAAATATATGTCTTTAAATAAAATATTAAATTGTGTTGTTTCCAATATTGACATATTTTCTACATTTTAAATTAAAATATGATCATTTAAAATTTTTAATTGCTGCACCAGGAAAGAGCATCCTCTACATAAAAAGTATAGCCAATACTGGCTAAATGCGCTGACATATAACGCCAAGGTGCTCATGCCTCACAGTGACCCGAGTTTGGATCCCAGCTCGAGGTCCTTTTCCGATCCTTCTGCTCCCCATGATTTCCTGTCAATTCTCTACACTGTTCTATCCATTAAAGGGTAAAATCCTCTAAAGAAAATGTGTTTATATATATATGTCGTATACCAGAATAATTGGTGGTTCATTTTTCTGTGGCGACAAATTTCTACAAATTTCTTTGTATTTAGTTTTTACTGTCCTCATATAATATATATATATATATATATATATATATATATATATATATATATATATACATATATATACATATATACATATACAAGATAACGTTTAAATAAAAAAAAACTGTAAAATACTTTTTTCATAAATATTTTAATTTTGAACTAACCCAGCTATTGAGTTAAAACAATCCACCATTTTGTGTGGAATTTTTAGAATGTACATATAATTGAAGACAAAATTATTAGCTTTCCTGTAAACTTTTTATTCTTTTCAAGTGCTGTACCTATTGTATTTTGCTTATGGAGAAATATAAAACATAATAAATATAAAAACGGTCAATATTATTAAAATTTGTTCTTTTGATTCTGTACAGAACAAACTACTGTTGTCCAATGACCTGCCTAATTAAGCATAATTAACCTAATTAACCTTATTACTTTAATACCAGCATCTAATAAAATATCTAGTAAAATATTATTTACTGTCATCGGAATGACAAAAAAATAGTTATTAGAATTAGCTATTAAACCTATTATGTTTAAAAATGTGTACAAATTGTTAGACAGCACTTCACAAGAATATCTCAAATAATAACTTGACTTCTAGTTGATCATTCGGTATTAGAAGTGGCTTATATAAAAGGCAAAGACCTCTAGATTTAGACTTATTTTACTAAAATAAAATATGATCATGCCTTGATTTTTAATTATTTAATTAGGAAAGAAAGGTCTGACTTTTGGAAAAAATAATGAATATTGTGTGTGACTCCGATGAGCTTGGAGGACTGCATCCATACATCTCTGCAATGACTCAAATAACTTATTAATAAAGTCATCTGGAATGGCCAAGAACACGATCTTGCAGGACTCCACTCTTGCAGGAGTTCATCAAGAATCTTTGGATTTATCTTCAATGCCTCCTCCTTCATCGTACCCCAGACATGCTCAATAATGTTCAATAATGGACTGAGCTGGCCAATCCTGGAGCACTTTAAACTTCTTTGCTTTCAGAAAACTTTGCTGTAGAGACTGAAATATAAGTAGGAGTGATATCCTACTAAAGAATTTGCCCTCTCCTGTGGTTTATATTGTAATGGCCAGCACAAATGTCTTGATACCTCAGGCTGTCTATGTTGCCATCCACTCTGCAGATCTCTCACACACCCCCATACTGAATGTAACCCCAAACCATGATTTTTCCTTCACCAAACTTGACTGATTTCCATGAGAGTCTCGTGTCCATGGAGGTCCCAATAGGTCTTCTGCAGTATTTATGATGATTGGGGTGCAGCTCAACAGATGATTCATCTGAGAAATCCACCTTCTGCCACTTTTCCAAATGATCTACTAGAAGTCAACTCTTAGATCTGGGATCAACGACAAGACTTTTGCCAGGTAGTGTATGCATTTCAGTGAAATGTCCAATATATTCCAGCAAAGGCAAAACATTTTATAGCTTTTTAAATATATTTAAGAATGCAACAATAATTTTTAAAGCTTTTTGTATCCACTATGAAAATAAATAATGGGTTACATCATCAACAAATATCTAAATGTTCACAATAATTTTTTTTTTTTAAATATATCTCAAATGTCTGTCTGTCTGCCTAAAACTCTCTCTCATGCCTCATCAGTGCTATCATGTTCCCTTTTATTCACACGAGATCAGTGGTCCTGATGAGAAGCACATCACCGTTTCACAGTCAGTCACTGTGTCACTCAGACACTGATGGATTATCAGAGAGAGAGAGAGAAAGAGTGTCCGTATCACACATTTCCACAAGAGCTTCATAGAAAAAAAAGCACAGTATCTCATATCACAGTATCAACGAGTGCCAGATTATTCACATATCTCCCCGCTCTGCGCCAGAACAAAGTATATTCGCTCCTTACAAAGTTAAGATTATGCAAAAGCGACGCAGCAAATGAGAGTTAAGGGGTGGAGAGGAGGTGGCGAGAGCAACAGGAAGAGAGTGAAAAGGTTAATGTGCATGCATACATGAGTACATTAATACTTAACGCAGAATGATTGCGCACACACTTACAGAGAGAGAGAGAGAAAAAGAAAAGAAAAGAGAAATGAAGAGGAACGGCAAACCAGCAACTTTATGTAAATTCTGCATCGACAAAATCTACGAGGAAACAGATTAACGCTGCAAAGAAGGGGTTAACGATGAACTGCCTAATTACCAGAGAGACGGAAAGAGAGGGAGGGGTTTGCAAAGAGAGGGACAAAACAAATATAAGGAATAACGCCGGGAGATTAAATTACATAAGAAGTTATGCAGACAAAGATAAAGAGAAAGGATTTTTTTGGGTTGTTGCTGTTTCTTACCTTTGATTGTGTGAGTATGAAAGAGTCCCTCATAAACAAGTGAATTCCAAAGCACAGGGGTCTGCACTAACAGGTGGTGCAAGAGAAGGAGATAGAGAATGAGAGAGGGAGAGAGAGAGAGAGAGAGGAGGGGGAGGGAGAAAGAGAGAGAGAGAGGAGGAGGAGAGCCGGAGATAGAGAGAAGTGTAGCATAACATCAAACACTCTATAGGATTACATATGCAGAAATGTGAAGAGTGAGAAGAAGAGAGGGATGAAGGGTTTAGGGGGTAAAAAGAGAGAGGGAAGAATGGGAGGAGGAATTTATTTGTTAGAATGCGCCACAGAAGGAGATATTGATGGACGGATGGGAAAGAGAAAGTGTATTTGGACTGAGCCACATGTGTTACAATTGCACTTGCACAACGGCTAATTCCATTTCCTGTGGGCATGTTTTTTGTGTTTGTTTTTGTCTCCCGCTCCCCTTTTCTTGCTGTCATACTGGGTTTGCAATGCGATGTTAGACTACATGCTTTAATCCGCAATGTCAATATTGCCATGCAGGGGTTCTGTATGAGGGACTTTATTAAGGATTTAGACTTTTCTTAAAGGGACAATTCACCTAAAATAGGGAAATTCACAAATTAATTTGCTTAAAATAGTATTTAAAGGGATAGTTCACATGAAAATTAAATCTCTATTATTATTCACTCATCTTCTACATCTTATAAACCTGTTGGGATTTTCTCACAAAGGAAGATATACTGAAGAATGTTATAAAAAACAGACATTGACTGTTTTTTACAATCCCATTCTTCATTTAACCGTAGAAAGACATTCACAAACAAATGTAAATATGTTGAAACATTCATTTTTGGGTGAGCTATTGCTTTAAAAACAAACATGTTAATGTATAAATACAAAAACCTGCAAAAGGTTGTCTTGTTTTTTTTCAGGAAATGAAATCTTTGTGTCTATCTTGTTTTTATAACCTTAGGCTGTAAGGTGTTGTGGCGACTTGGAAAAACTGATATTTAATGTAACACGCTGACCTTTCCAAGATGGTGAATACGTAAAACCTAGTGCCTGGAGCAGTTGAATGTAGCATTGAAATATACATCTATGCCTTTGTGGAAAACAAAGAAAAATATGTTTCTGCCACACAGGATCACGGGAAATACGTGTCTTAGCCTACATTTCTGCGAAACTGCAAAAATATACATATGAATGGAGTTTCTAGGTAAAATGAATGCCACGGGCCGCATTACAAATTTGATTCCTTTTCACACTAATGATATTTACAGGGATATGTTATTGACAAATAAAGGATTATTTTCATTTAGCTTCTTGCAAAAGCCCAAATAGATGGAACAATAAACACCATAACAAGGACCTTAATTTGTAATCAGTTATTTGTTTAACCTTTAAATCTCCATATGGACAACTTTGTTATAGTGTTATACCAACACAATGGCTGTTTCTCAATTCCAAGAACGCAGAGAATGGACTTGCGTTCTTGTGAAAACCGGTCTTGCCAGGTTACCAAGGAAGAACGAACTTGGGAGACCGCGAGAACAAAGAACACGTCCTGTGAGAAATGAGATGCTGTGTTCTTCCTAATGGTCACATGACCTTCACGTGTTTTTAATGAAAAATTATTTAAACGTTCCAGCATTCATACAATGATTTATTGTTTTTCCCCTTTTCAAAATATATACTACGCTTAAAGACTTTACAAATATATGTTGCACAATACAGATAAAACAGATTTTAATACGAATTTCAGCAAATAAACACCCTTTCTGCGTTTATTCCTTTATTAAGATGTCCATGGTAATGTTTATATTCACCATTTCATTTAGGGAAATTCCTTAGATAAATAAGTGATATCTCTGAACTTTATTAATAAATCTAAATAAAAAGCCGCACTTCCCACCTCCAGTCGCAATGACTTCTGGGACTTCTCAAGCGAGTTCGGTGCTTAAGTCTGCATCAGTGCATCCTCGATATCAAGAACACATCCGGGAAGTTTTACGTGTCCGCCGTTCTTGCTGTCTTGAGTATTGGAACTGAACTTAGGCAGTTGATGATGAAGTTACACGAGAACACGAGGATGCAAGATCACCGAAGAACGCATATTGAGAAATCTCACGGCAATCTCACGGCAATTTGTGACTTTTTGATTTAGTGGCTAATTCGTATGAATTCAAACAATCTCATTTGTACAATTTAGTAGGACTTGCTTATACCCCAATGACTGTTGCATTTAGAAGCGAGGTTTAGTGCAACGGCTCCTTTTTAAAATCGTACATTTTTATATGACTGAACTTGCATGAATTTGCTCGAATTAGCCACTAAATTGACAAAACGTAATATAGTTATTTTCCTCATGAGATCAGGCTTGTTATATTTGTGCTGCAGAGCACTCGGGTTTGAGTCCGGTAAAGCACGCAAAAGAGATGACAGCTATGTAAAATCAAGGTAAATTTATGTGGCGGCAGAGTACGTTTCTACTACATTTAGGTGCTTTTAAAAACACCATTGGTTGTATTTAGGAAAGGGTTTATATCAGTGGTTTTGCTTCTCATGGAAGTTTATCTAAACCTACAACAAAACGTAACTACAAGTAACATATTTCAGATATGCAAAATGTAGACAGCACAGTCCAGTAAATTTGTCATCTGAAACGTGCATTGAAATGTACCTAGAGCAATGAATTTTATTACTTTTGAACTAAACAACAGGGTGAGAATGTGGTAAAAATCAGACAAGGGCTTTTCTTTTTCTGGGTTGTTTTTTAAAATTGTCGGTTGGGTTTAGGGAAGTGGGTGAGCGGGTCAATCTGTGCTTTTGAAAATATTATTGCTCAGGTTTAGGGAGGGAGGAGGGTGGTTCAGTTGATCGGTCAGTCAGTCAGTCATTCTTGCAGTCAAACAGTAAGTCAACAGCGACCTCTGGTGGATTTACAAGAGAACAGCAGGCACAAATGGCACTCCCGAGAGAAATTTAAGATCTAAAAAAGACTGAACACCGACCTCTAGTGGATTTGCAAAACAAAAACTGCAAAAATACATAGCTCCTGGGACGTATTTTGTGCTCTCCAAAAATGTACATAGGGATTTGTTTTCGGAATGAGCCTGGGTTGCATATTTCCAATGAGCCCATTTTTGTTCATAGAGTAAAAGTAAATGAGGTGGAAAACAACATGCGACCCTAATGACGTTGATTCTACTGACGAAATTATACTCATTCTAAAAAGTAAGAAAGAAAGAAAGAAAGAAAGAAAGAAAAAAAGAAAAAAAAGAAAGAAAGAAAGAAAGAAAGAAAGAAAGAAAGAAAGAAAGAAAGAAAGAAAGAAAGAAAGAAAGAAAGAAAGAAAGAAAGAAAGAAAGAAAGAAAGAGGTTTAGAATGACATGACATCAATATATTTTTTAAGTGAGCTGTCCATTTTAATTAATTTGAATCCTCCACTGAGTCACTGATAAAGAAGTCATAGTGTACTGTCACAGTCACTGTCTGGTTATTGTTTATGTCTGTGTTTTGCTTTCAGCTGAAATACATATGATCAGATTGCTTTCAAAGCACAAACGCTCATGGGGCTAAATGCATTCAGACAGGCACAATAGACAAACTACTGATGAAAACATGAGATTGTTATGGAAGAAAGAGGATGGAAATCAGCTTTTCATGCATACATTTGTATTATGTTTGAATTCATTTTTGCCATCTATTTCATTGACATACTTTCTCACTTGTAAGTTACGTAACATATAGGTTCATTCATTCACCACTTGTTCGTTACACTGAGCGCTCCTGCAAAAGTGATGAAGAGTGTGACGAAATATGAGCAAAGGGACTCAATGAAATCTGAACACAAATTGTCACAAGAGATGAATTTAAATGCATGTTAACACCAGGAGACAGTAATGAGTCTTGGCTGGCTACTTGTGATTGGATCACTGAACATGCATGTTAATACCAGATGAAAACAAGGGTCAAGGGGACAAGTCACTTTAAAGGAACACTCTACTTTTTTGAAAATAGGCTCATTTTACAACTCCCCTGGAGTTAATTAGTTGAGTTTTACCATTTTAAATCCATTCAGCTGATTTCTGGGTCAGGCAAGAACACTTTTAGCTTAGCTTAGCATAGATCATTGAATTAGATTAGACTATTTGCATTTTACTCAAAAATGGCCAAAAAGTGTTGATAATTTCCCTATTTAAAGACTGCTTTTGTTTTGTAGATACATTAAGGGTGATGAAAAATGAATAGTTGCTATTTTACATGGCTACTCATACCGGCATACAATTCAAGGAACTTTGCTGCTGTACCACTGCTACAGCAGGCACAGTTTTATTACGCAACACTTAGAAATCTTGCAATCGTGGACACATTTGCAAGAGGCAATTCAAAACTATTTTTAGGTGCTGTACATCATGCACCTACAGAAGAGATAAAATTTATATAGGAAAATTATCAATGTTGGTCATTTTGATGCTAATTGTCTAATCCAATTAAATTATTTCTGCTAAGCTAAGCATATCGCAGATCGACTGAACGGCTTTAAAAATGGTCAAACTTAACTGTTTAACTCCGGGGGAATTATAAAATGAGCCGATTTTCAAAAACAAAACAAAAAAAAAACATGCGTTTGGTAACTTTAGAGTAAATACCAGTTCTCACTATTAGAGTAAATACAGTTCTAACTACTGGCTTACATCCCTTATTATTATTGCTTACAAAGATATTGGCTGTTTATTATTTTATTTATTTTATTGATTTATCATTTTATTCATTAATATTATTGCTTATTATTAAGATATTGGCTGTTTATTATTTTATTTATTTTTTTACTATATCATTTTATTTTATTATTATAATTTCCTATTGTTAAGATATTTATATATATATTTTTTTTATTATTATTTTTAAGATATTAGCTATTTATTATTTTATTTATTTTATTATTATTATTATTATATCATGTTATTCTGTTATTATTATTGCTTATTAAGATATTAGCTGTTTATTATTCTATTTATTTTATTATTATCATTATATGACGTTATTCTATTATTATTATTATTATTATTATTATTATTATTGCTTATTAAGATA